GGGAAGGGGCGGGGGGCAGGAAGGGAGAGAACAAGGGAATCTGTGGCTGTTATGTAGAACTTAATGGTATTGTAAAATAAAATAAAAGGGAAAAAAAGAATAGGCATGTGTGTGTGCATGAACACACATATGCCCATAACTATGATAATAAAAGAAGAAGATGATATCAAGTTAAGACTGGGGGCATTGGAATAATTCAAAGGACTATATCTGGATGGGGCTAGTCTTGTACAATATTACCAGGACTAGCTTTAATATTATACATCCCAGGGGCTCAGGAGAGAGAACTACTAACGGCGAGGACTATTTTCAGGAAATAGAATCTCAGCACACTGAGCTCTATAGTCTACTTGCTTTAATTCCTCTGGCATAACATCCACATATATACAGCTTCAGTTCTGTTCTCGTGTCTAGCTCCTTTCTTGCCTGATTTCTCTATGTTTATCTACTGTTCCATCTTAAGTTCTATCTTAATTCTCTTGTCTTAATTCTGCCTAATCTAGGTCCTTTTCACCTTGTTCTTACCCAGCTAGGGCTTTCCCATCTGACTCTTCCTCATCTTTCATCTCGTTCCTCTAGTACTATTTTCTAGCCCTTCAGTCTAGTTCTTTCCCATTTCAGTTTGTTCCTACCCATCTAGTTTTTCCATTCTCTTTTCTCTTCTCTGTCTTCTCTGTGCCCTGGAAGTCCTGGTATATATACCTTACAAGCAGTAATCCCTTGGCAGTGCAAAGCCAAGCTTCCAGGGTCAAACGGAGGGGTGATAAGAATCACATAGGGATGCAATAACCATTAGTTATAACTTGCAACCCCAAAGGAAAGTGACCAATGGGGAAATGAATTAACTAAAGGCTAAATTCAGGTACTATCTAAGAAGAGGGCTCTTATGTGCTCAACTATAATCTTAAACGTGATTGGTAGAAAATGTTAAGAATCTATAAGTTGCTAGGTCAATGGGAGAAAATAAAACTGTCTTCTTTTTTCCTGTGGCTCATATCTGTTCAAGCTATCTGCCATTTTTCTGCAGGGTGGGGAAAAGAGAGCTTGGTTGCTAGGCAAACTGTACAGGCTAGTTGCCTCTGGTGATAGTTAAAGGGAGATCTGGAACTAGAGGTAAGGTTTGGGAAAGGAGGAAGTAAAGCTTAATTGACACATTCGCCAGGCCTTCTCAAACAGGTAGCCAGATGCTTAAGTCTGTTCTTAGAGCATACAGAGGTATCTCTGATAAAGTACTTTCCTCCATCTGGGGATGAACTTGGCTGGATGCTGCCAATGATGATTATTACAGGGAGGCTTGAACTGGGGTTCTGGCTGAGCGTAGCTGTCAGTGCAGAAGGTTATCCAAATATTCCTAGAAGTGGTTAGATAAGGAATTAGAGGTCTATAAAGTTAGTAAGGCTGTAAGAAAGGAGGGTCCAAGCTAAATTGTGTAAAGCTATTACTGAACATCCGCCTGACCTAGGCAGTATCTCCTTCTGGAATTTGTCTTGAATCAGGAGACTTGCATGTGGACTGTTATTACTGCTCGTCCTTGAAAGTGGCCAAGGGAGATATCTCGTTCCAGAGAAAGCCTTTCCTGAAACAGTTCTCCAAATACCTGGAATGTCCATAGAGTGATCAGTCCACACTATTAGCCCGTCTTAGGGAAAAGTCAATTGGGAAAACTATGAAGGCACTCATGATTTTCGTAACAGAATACAGATGATATATAACAAGCCAAGTAACACCAAAGACTCCTTGGAATTTGTCTTCCTCTGGAGAAAATCCTTGATCTCTCCAGGTAGTGACTTTGCCATAACCAGCTGAGTTCTTATGATATATTCCTGCAGCCCACAGCAGGCTAGAGGGGAGAAAGGGAGAAGGGAAAGTAATACTATTTCTTTTCTGTTAAAACATATTAAAAAAGAATAGAGAGACACCACACTGCACAGCTACAATACAATTTCTTTACAATATAGGTGCACTTAATATTTTTATATCCCTGAATTTACTCCCAAGTAATGACAAGTTCTGAATCACTTACTTTCTTAACATTTAAATTATATAAGTGAAAAATGAGGGAATGCTAAGGAACCCATTATTTTAAAACATTACTATCATAACAATGAGACTGGACAGACATGTAACACAAAGAAAATTGTAGAACAATTTCCTTGAGGACAAACAGAAGCTAATATTTAAATAAAATTCTTTTAAACAAACTTGAATAACAGATCAGAAAGATCATTGACTATTATCTGCTTAGGGTCACTCCAGTCCTTGTTCAATATATGTAAATGTACTAGGGTATTCAGACAAAGAAAACAAGTTACAAAGTTACATGGCCATATCTACAGATTTAAAGTTCAACATTCCTTCATGAAAAAGTTCCAGAAAAACTAGAAATAGAAGAGACATATATCCACATTAAGAGCTGTACATGAGAAGCCTTTAGGAAACCTGGCAAGAGATACAGAAAAAAAAAAAAAAACACTTTCTCTAAAATCAGAAAGAAAACAAGAGCATCTACTCACTCTAAGTTTATTCTACTTGGTGTTTGATGTCTTCCTAGGGCAACAAGGAATGGGAATATACACAAAGAAATACCAATATGAAAGACAGAAGTCAAAGTTCCCTATTTACAGATGACATTATTCTATACTTAACTGACCCCCAAGACTAACTCAGACTCCAACAGCTTACACATTTTTTTTTTCAAATATTAACAAAATACAATATCACCATTAAAAAAACTGGCAACATTTCTATAACCAAAATACAAATTATAAAAAATGGTGGTATTTCTATATTGAACTCCCTTGGAAAATAATGGGGAAAATCCACAACCAACCACTTTTCAACTGGATTTAAGGGCCAAATCACAAAAAGTGACCCATGCTTAGCATAACTACTTAGCCAAGATGCTATGGATAGACAGGTATAGGCCCTGGGGGAGAATTTACCATTATTACACTGCTAAATGGACTTTGCATTAAAGTGACTTCTAATGTCTTATTCTACCCACAGAAGAATACATCTCTCAAGTGTCATCAAAGAAGCTTCTTTTTACAGTAGATGGTGTTTACTACTGAGTCCCTCAACTAGTTAAAGTGCAACAAACAAGGTCCTGTGGCATCTTCAGCACTAAAGTAAATGCCTAAACCAAACCTCTTCCTCCAGAAACTCAGGCAGAAGAAAGAATAAAAAGATTGTGAAAACCAAAGGCAATGGATAACTACAATGATCATTGTTTTCTGATACAATGGAGTAGTTACAGAAATGAACTTTAGAAGTTGTGACAGCATGTATAAGACCTTTGTGAGCTCAAGCTACAGAATGTCATGGCATAGAGAGGGAATTTATTTGTAATTGATAACTGATAGGACAGAATCATAGCAACAATCAAAAAAAATCATTCATGGCACTAGTACAAATATAGGTAAAAAATAAGGAAATTATATAAATGACTCAGAAAGAAACTCATGCACACAGCGCCACTGAATTTTCAACACATAAACCAAATTTCCGATGGAAAAAGTGTTCTTACCAACAAACAATACTGGTAAACTGTAAATGTAGAAGAAAGAAGCAATATCAGCATTTTATTAAATATAAAACAAAGAAAATTATTAGAGAGTGGTTCAATAGGTAAAGTGCTTGCACAGAATCATAAAGATCTGGGTCATATCTATGGACCCAAGCTCGATACTGACATGAAGTCATAGGTCCTTAAACTGAGCAGAAGAAAAGAAAAATCAGGAGGATCCTTGGCTTTTGCAGTCTGACATGCTCACACAATTGGTTAGTTCCTGGACTATCAATGACCCCTGTTTGTCAATAAGATGAAAGTTATTGAGTAAGATACTCAAAATCAATATTTGGGCCACCACATGAATGTGAAAATTGATGTGTGATAACCACCTGCATAGGTACACACATTTGTACACATAAAGTAATACATATGCATACAGGTTCATCACATACACAGGCACTCATATATAATTATGACAGATAAAAAAAGACAAGATCATATTACATAATGTGAAAAGCACAAACCCAGAATGAGACCATCCTAAATACATTTTTTTTGTTGTTTTTTCAAGACAGGGTTTCTCTGTGTAGTTTTGGTGCCTGTCCTGGATCTCTGTAGACCAGGCTGGCCTCGAACTCACTATGATCCACCTGGCTCTACCTCCTGAGTGCTGGGAAGATACAGTCTCCTTAGGCAGGCTATCTGGGAGTTCACTCTCTAAAAGGGTACAAATAAGGTGATCATGGGGATAGGGAGAAACCAGGTGCTAGGGAAGTTCCCAGGAATCCACAAGAATGACCCTAGCTTAGACTACTAGCAATAGTGGAGAGGGTGCCTGAACTGGCTTACCCCAGTAATCAGATCAGTGAATACCCTAACTGTCATCGTAGAGCCTTTTTCCAGTAACTGATGGAAGGAGATGCAGAGATCCACAGCCAAACACCAGGCTGAGCTCCAGGAGTCTAGAGGAAGAGAGGGAAGGATTCTATGAGCAAGGGGCATCAAGATCATGGTGGAGAAACCTACAGAGACAACCAAACCAAGCTAATGAAAACGCATGAAATTTAGACCAACTCTTGTGGAGCCTCCATGGGACTGGACTAGGCCTTCTGCATAAGCAATACAGTTGTGTAGCTTAATCTGCTTTGGGGTCCCCCTGACAGTAGGATCAGGATCCATCTCTGGTGCATGGGCTGGCTTTTTGGACCCCACTACTGTGGTGGGACACCTCTCACAGCCTTGAGGCAGGTGGGAGGGGCTTTGACCTGCCTCTACCAAATAGACCAGGCTCTGCTAACTCCCCATGAGAGGCCTTACCTTCTTGTAGGAGGGAATGGGGGATGGTGGGTGGGGGAAGACTGCAGGGGTGGGAGGAAGGAAGAGGGGGATCTATGATTGGTATGTAAAATGGATAAAATATTTCTTAATAAAAATCAAGATTCTGCCTCTACCATTCATGTTCTGGGATTTCAGGCCTGTGCCAGAAACAATGGTCCAAACAGTAGTTGGAATTAAACCTAGATCTTTAGAGAAGCTATTCATGAACTGTACCATAGGCGGTATGTGCCCAATTATCTTCAATGTATACATTAAGTTCATGAGAGGTAATAAAAGATACAGGGAATAATAATTTAAGTACTGAAAGTATTAACTAATGGATCCTGTGACTAGTTTCACCACACCGTCTTCCCTTAGAGAAAATAATAGAAAAATATTAAGTTTTGGTAGTTGTGCAATGTCATGGACACTCTGAACTGAACGTGATTGGAACAGAAAATTGAGAAGTGAGTAGAAGGACATGTTCTATCCCAGCACACATGGGAAACCTTAACAATAAACAATATGATCATCATAAGCGTCTATGTATGACATAAAGAAATCACATAAAAATAATGTTCTCATTGTCGTGAAAGGGAAGCAAAATTCTATAAACAAAATGCAACAAAAGTATACCTAAGCATAAATGATTAAACAGTCCTCTTCTAAATACATCCTTGACAATGAACAAAATATAAAAAAGAAGGATAGGGGGATAAAGCCAGTAAAATGTAAAAGGAATTATTTCAAAATTAGCAGTATGCATCCCCAGATGTAATGAAATAATAGCATATAGCATAAATAAGGGAAGAAGTTTAAAATCCCTTTATAAGGAAGTAAGAAAAAAGAGAAACAAGGAAATAACAAACTCAATAGTAGCAATCAATGAAAATAAGAATAGAAAATGGGAAAATGGTGAAATTTAGGGCTAGTACTTTGCAAACAAATTATTAAAGTTTGGAAAATTCTATTACAATAACACGATCAACCACTGATCTTGGCTAACCACTAGAACTTAATAATAAGACTATTACTGAGGACAACACATGTCTGAGTCATAGAACTTGGCAAAAACAAGCTGATAGAAAACTGGAGGCTTCATCTCTACTGGATAGCTTCCCTCATGTCGGAAGGTGGTAGGCAAGCTATCAGAGCAAGAAAGTAATCATTTATACACAGCTGTGAACTTGGGAGTTTCAGCAATGACCAAAATGCCCATTGATGCAACAGTAGCAAACATATCATTGGCGTACCTATTTCCTGAATGGTTTAAGTCCCGCTCCAATAGATGAAACACTTATCTGGTACCATTATCGAGCAAGAACTTATAACTACACAGGACATAGTCCCTAGTGGTAAACCTGCTACTTTCATGTTTGGTAAATTGGCAGAGTGTTTAACTTACTCCTGGTGACTTGTTTTATAACCCTAGTTTAATGTATCTCTCAACCACCATCTAAGAAGCTTCTATTTGCAGGAGATGGTAATTAGCACAGTATCCTACAACTGGTCAGGGAGCAGAGAAAAAGAGACAGAAAATGATCAGTCTGAAAGGGATATATAATAAAGATACCACCTAAGGCTCAGGGATCATTGAACAAGGGATGAGGTACAAAACAAGTGTAGGAACCGGAGCTGATGGGTGACTGTAAGGAAACATCTTCTGAAGACAGAAGAGAAGCTGAGCTTCAAAGTGAACTCCCATTAATTGTGTCAGAATGCAGAAGGCCTGTGCAAGACCAGGCTAGACCAAGTCCTAGAATGGGGAGAGGAGGTAGGCATAAAATTTCATCCCTAGCTGCAGACTAATTGGCAACTGATCAGTTTTCTCTTACTGTAGCCCCTGGTAAGGAGATTGTGCTCCAGCGCAAACTACATATCCATGAATATCATGAATACTTTCGGTAGCAGAAATTACTCTGGAAGGGTTTTGTTTTTCTGTTTTTTAAATCTCTTTTCTTTGTTAAGGACATGTATTATTAGGTGGATAGGGAATGTGGTGTCTAGTGTGGTATGATTACAACAGATTGCTCAACTACCAATGAACTAATGCAAAATGTTTTAAGAACACATAAATTAGCAACTGCTATCATATGAATATTCTCTCTCCTGTCAGGACCGTACCCCTATAGGAACAGGAAGGCATTTGATAGAACTGAGTAATGATGACTCACATTGAATCAGGCTCATAAAATGCCAAAGCAATATAGCTGGAATGGGAAAACAAGTCACAGCAATAAAAATATTACAAGACATCTGGGGGGAGGGGTTGATTACTGAAGCATAATGGATATTAAAGATTGAAAGGGAGTCAGATGTGATGCTTATGGACTTCAAGAAGTAATGTCTATGGGATAGTTCTCTGAGAAGACAGGATGCAGCTTTTGACAGGTTGCTGTAGATGAAGAACATCTAGGTGGGTAGAAATCACTTCAGGCAGGACTTTGAGCAATGGTCAGTGATGCTTGAAGGTAAGGGTCAAACAGATTAACTCAAGGCCCACTATTATGTTATACATTTTTAAGCACCAATGTTGTGCATTGTTAAATCTTACAGGTGGGTGAATATGAATTCACAGGATTTCTTCAATGCAGCAAGAAGAGCAAAAGCAGACCATAAATAAGGAGACAAAAAAACATGCACAAGAAAAGGACTAAGCTTGTTGTATAGCAGTAGACTGCCACCTCAACCACGGACATTTATGCAGTGGCCTTTCCTTATGAAAGGGACTGTGCTCAGGATGGGTGTCTTTCTGTGGAGCAAGAAGTGACCAGAGTGCAGAGTATCACCTCAGTGTGGCAAATGTAAGTTGAACTAATGTGTTTGCGGGTTGGGGAAGCCTTTGGGTATGCATCTTGTTCATCCTGCCCTGGGTGAAATCAGGAAACAAACATGGCTGATAAAAGTTCAATAACTACAGCCAGCCTGGAGCCAGATACAGGAAATAACCTGAGGTGAAAGAGTGGTTTATATGAGACTTGGCTTGTTTCCTACTTACCCTTGGCTAGTCAAAGCAGCTGTCATCCAGCCATCAAGGTGGCCTAGTGGACATGCTGTCAGGTAAGGATGGCTAATGTGTCATAGGGAATTACAGTTATATTAGTTACTTTCATCACTGATATTAGAAAATAGTTGGTAAAAGTAGTTTGCAGAAGCAAGAGTTAGTTTTTTATTGCATTGGAATGAGACACAGTTCCCCATGATGGGACAGATTGAGCAGCTGCTTTCATTTCCTCAAACAGTCAGAAAGTGGCAAGAGATGAATGCTGGTGCTAACCTTGCTGTTGCCTTTTCGGTCAGATCTGGATCCCAACTCAAGGAATGTTGCCACTTACATTTAGAGTACCTTTTCCCACCTCAGTTATCCCAATCTATGTCTTTCAAACTGGCTATCTCCTAAGATTACATTATCTGTTAGATCAGCAATCAATCAACTCTTGTCAATTTGACACTCATTCATAGAACTTTTTAGGCATCATATCTCACAACTCACTCTCAAAGGCTCAAAACTATCATATGAGGTATAATCTATTCAATATTCCTCTAAGAGTCCCAATACTCTCTAGCAGTCCTGACTGTTCAAAATCTAAAATCTGAGGCTTGGTCAACATTGAGGGCCTGTGAAATAATAAAAACAAAACCAAACAAAACAAAAATCCCAAAATGAAACAAGATACAGGCTTCCCATGTACATGGGTAAGAAGTAACATTCCTCCTCCATAGGGGAGTATTGGGGCTGTATGAAGGAATGGTAGGACCAAACCAAGACTGAAAGCCAGTGGCATTTGGACATCTAACAAAAGCAACTGAGATCAGAAAGGCTTTGATAGCTACCCTCACCCTACCATCCCTGATGTTTGTTATGCACATGAATTCTGTCACAGCTGGATCTGTTCTATGCATGATATTTTCCTAAGCAGACAATTCAGGAGCCTCAGATCTCTGATACGCTTGGTATTGTCCTACTTCTTAGGGTTTGCCTTCACAATGGCTTTTCAGAGGCACCTCAAAGGTACTATGACCCTGCCGTGCATTGCTTTCTCTCATTTACATTCTAGAATTTTGAAGCAAGCGTCAACAAGCCCTATAGTCTTATATTTCCATGCCTGCAAACCCAGTGCCACTTGTACCATGCTTCAAAGTTCTGTGATAAGCTTCTAATATAGACTATGGATAACACTGTCATGGGATATCCTATATGAGGTTAAGTTTATGAATATTTTTTATAAACTTAATTATTTATTTAAACCCTTGGCCACAGTTTACTCTCCCTCCTCTCCTCCGAAGCCTCCCACACTTTCTATTCCCACCCCCTAATCTACTCCTCCTCTGTTTCTGTTTAGGAAAGGGCAGGTCTCCCATGAATATTATCAAAATATGGTATATCAAGTTGCAGTAAGACTGAGCACCTCCTCATGTATTAAGACCCATCATGAAGAGTACTAACAACCAGTATGAGGTGACCCAGTATGAGGAGTAGTTTCCAGAAAGCCAGTAAAAGAGTTGTAGACAGCCTCTGTTACATCTGTTAGGAGTCTCACAAGAGGACCAAACTATACAACTGCAATATACATGCACAATGCCTAGGTCAGTCCCATGCAGGCTCCTTGGTTGTCGTTTCAATCTCTGTGAGCCCCTATGAGCCCAGGTTAGTTAATTTAATAATGCAAGTTAACTATAAATAGTGCATTACTGAGAACTAAATACGTTAGTACCTTCCCTTATTTTATTGTAACCCAAATCATTCCTTACACATAAAAGAGAAATGATGAGTCCTGTTCATATTTGTTAGAGCCATTCAATTTTTTTTTTTTTACAGATTCCTTAGATCAGTGGTTCTCAACCTTCCTAATGCTGTACCCCTTCAATACAGTTCCTCATGTTGTGGTGACCCCCAGCCATGAAACTATTTTTGTTGCTACTTCATAACTGTAACTTTGCTACTGTTATGAATCACATATCTGACAGGCAGGATATGGAACCCCTGAGAAAGGGTCATTAACCCCCCAAAGGTATCATAATATACAGGTTGAGAACCATTGCCTTACATGCTTAATTCCAATGCCAACATAAGCAGTGGACCTTCAAATGCTCTTCTGACCATTTATAGGGAACTCATTCACAATGGTAATACCTAATGTCATATGTATCTGGAAAACAATCTAAGAGAATAGTATTCATACCAGCTGAGAATGTGCAAGAAGGAAAAATTCATGGTAGAAATAGATATCACTGATGCCCATTAGGATGTTGAAAAATCTCGAGACCAGACTGGATAACTTCCATTGAGTTATTGAATGGGGTAGACTCCTTGGACTCAAAACCATAGTGGCATTGTCAATGACTTTGGTGCATGCCAGAACTAAATGGTAAGAACTTATTGCTGATATTAAATATCCATGCTGCATGTTATGAAGAAATTAGGCTGAAAATGAGTGTGCATTTCCATAGGACTAAGCAACCTTCATCATGCCACATGAACCATACTAGTTACTAGAAAAAGTGTCAATGTGAGATATGCACAACAAAATGATAATGGAACACTCAGCCAAGTAAGATGTAACCACTGGGTCAATAGTGGTAGAACTGCTATAATGTCATCAAAACACTTTCTCATTGGATTTAAGACCATCTCAGCATCATAGAACCCATGTTTTGTATTATCCAGCTTAAAAATTTCTGTCTAAGGAGGTAGTAGTACAACAAGATGACCTCTGCAGTTGTTTGGTTCAATAGATAGGATGTTTCTACCAGTTGCCTTCTAAACTGTATTTACCTGTTACACCCTTTATCTGTCTGCCAAGTAAAACTCTGTACAGTATACCATGAATATGAATAAAGACTTGCAAAGCATAAACTGTTCAGAATAAATACTATTACTATGTCTGGGTAGTTTAGGGAATATTGCAAATGAAGTAATGGGAATATACAAGAACCTGAAGAAAAAATGTAAGTATGGGTGATAGCTATTTCCATTTGAGTATAAAAAACCCATCATTATTTATGAACCAGAGATGGCTGTGTCTATGTGCAACATATCTTGGACACTAGTAATAACCTGGAAATAGATAAACACTGGAAATGCACTTATGTCTGTGGTCACGAATACTGGGTTGCTCTCCCTGACCCTAACAGAGAAAGGTCATGGGATCCTGATTTGGATTTCAGGTGTTACTTCCTTCTGCCCTCTAGCAAGATCTGCTCTGCTATATAGGAGGTGGAAAACTAACAGAAGGAAGGACTACAGTGTTGCAGATTTCCTGAGCTGGCAGACAAGCTGTGGTGTGACTTCTCAGAGATGTCATTCTCTTTGACTGAAACATTTTCCTGTAAGTAACTCCTCATTTGAGTTCCTCTATAGATGCTTAAACATTATGTTATTGGGCAGTTTATTTATTGCTATAATTGATGCCCTATCTGGGATAATTTGTTATTTGTTCATACCAAACCAGGAAAAGCAAAGCAAAATAGACTTTAGATACACTTTATGGTCATTGCTTTAGAAAGAAAATACATTCTGGGATTAGTGGGTTTCAGAGGGGAGTCATCTTAGCATAGAGACATGTAGCTATGTCTAGAGACGTGTTTTCTTTTTTTCATTTTTCTCTATTAAGAAATTTTCTACTAACTCCATATACCACCTACAGATACCCCTCCTCCCTCCTACTACCCCCTGGCCCTCTCTCCCAAGCCACCCCACATTCCCCACATTTCCCACATCCCCCAAATCAAGGTCTCCAATAGGGAGTCAGCAGAGCCTGGCACACTGAGCCTAGGCAGGTCCAAGCTCCTTCCCACTGCACCAAGGCTGTGCAAGGCGACACACCACAGGCACTGGATTCCCAGAAGCATAAGCATGCACCAGGGACAGATCCCGATCCCCCTGCCTGGGTGCCCCCTAAACAGTTCGAGCCAAACAACCGAGACACTTTTTCTTGTCTTAACATGATGTACAAAGTGTGTGGGGGGGCATTACCTGTGTCTAAGAATTAGAAACCAGGGGTTTGTTAGAATACTACATAAAAAAGATATATCCAAAACAGGAAATGATTCATCTCAGAAAGTGAAAATTGCAGATTAGGAGACATTAAGATGAAATGAGAACAGTAGATTCTATGAGTCGAATTAATAATATCTTAGGAAAGAAAAAAGTGACATATTCTGACTCCAGAGTCTTGACTGTGAGTTCTTTGCCTTGAATGAGTGTAACCAAATTGTTACTTCGGGAGAGGAATGTAGACAAGCATAGCACATGTGGGTACTAAAGAACCTTGACAATTAGGTTCAAGTAAAATAATGATGTAAAACCTCACACTAATACTAACTTGCTTCTATTTTTTTTAATAATATGTCAAGAAAAATGAATTGGTAACAACTATGAACTTGATTTTTTGAAGTAGAAAAACAAAATATGAGTCTTCTCCCTTTCTTCTTAAATAGTGAAAATTCTTCAGTTGATGAATGGGTGGAATACATATTTTAATATATATATATATATATGCATATCACTCTTAAAATAAATTTAGGAAAGCATGCATATTTTGAAAATATATAATAATATGAATTATTTGACAATATCTTTACTTTGTATATAAAATTGATTGTTATTTTTATTTTATACAACTTTTTGATATATTTAGACATTTTATAAGTATTTGGGTGTAGATGTTTTCTGTGAATTCCCCCTACCAATTTTCTAAGATTGTGTTGGACATTACCACTAACATTAACAAAGTTTCTATTGAAATATAGGAAATATATAGTCATAAGAGTCATATTTTATAACATAATTTGTCTCAGACTTGTATCCATCAAAATAGATAGCCTTTTAACTTGATAAGTGCATGGTGTATCACCCTGTTGTAAGCTATTGATGTGTTACAGTTCTGTGGTTCTTCGTGTAAAAGATCCATGTAAAGGAAACTGACAAAACCAACACTGATAATTGCAAAAACATTTAAAGGCATCTTTTCTACAGAGCAGAGAAAATAGATAAAATCAAATTTCTAGAGCAAGTAGCATGTCATCAAGGACAATGTGTAGGTCTTTATGTGTAATGACAACAACCCTTGGCAACACAAAGCCTTAGAGAAGATGCAAAGTCCTCAGTGTGTGTGTGTGTGTTGCCTTCTAAAATTTCTAATAATGGGACTACTAAAACAATCACACTAGCTACAAATACAGTTTATTTATTATTTATGTTTTCATTATAACTATGTTGCCAAGCTTTTTTACAGGCTTACTGTAAACATCAAACTGAGAGGAAAATGTCTGAAACATTTTGAAAAGAAATAAATACATGACATTTTCCAGTTGAGTTTGCGATTTCAGGCAGTGGCATCATGTTTATGACAACATTCTCTTCATCCTCAATGTTAATAAAAAGGGAAAATAATGTATTTTTCACAAATAAAGACGATAAAGCAAACCTATGCATGTTGCCTTTGTCAGATTAGGGTCAAATATGCTAGTATTAGACAACTATGAGAAACAAATTTTTAATTGTCTTATTACTCAAAATGAAGAGAAATCTGCAAGACCTTAGATGATCAGAAAAATATGATTAGATCATCCTGATTTGATTTATGTCAAGCTCCAAATATTAGGAAAAAACAGAAACATGTCTGTAAATAACACTAAAAATTCATTATCTTAGTCACATTTCAAAATAGAAATCTGTGCAAATGTATTTACTTAACTAAATTTGTACAGTGGCAGACGTTTATTACTCAGCACATCTAAAACTACCAAACTGTGTAAAAGATGCCACTGAGGTAAGGCTTCCATTGACAAGGTGATTGCTGATAACCTCAGAGAAAGAGATCTCAGAGTGGCTTCTCTTCTCCTTTAGCAAGGACACTACTCCTGTTCCTAGTGTCCAACCTGCTCTTGTGGGAGAATGCAGCCTCTGCACCTACCTGTATCAAGAGGGATCTGGATACCCAGAAGTCCTTAGAGAGACTAGTTAAATTGGCTGCCTTTGTGTCTAATATTATCCATATGCAAGCTGGAGAAATATTCACTGAATTTGTAAGTACCTCTCTGACTTATGGTTTCTTTCAAAAATGGGCCTAGTTGGGATGTAGAATAGACTAAAGTTGGAAGCATAATGACCCAAATTTCAAACAATATACCATCACAGGGAGAAGCAATCAGCAGTTACTAAACTCTTTAACAGGAGAAAAGGACATTCTCAAGAAATGTCAGATATTTCCTTACATGAAATATTTTTCTCTATTTTTGAACTTTAATTTACACCTGTGACATAAAGTCATGAAATGTATGGCTAAGAAAAAGGTGTAATTTTTTTATTCCTTTATTTAGTGCAGTAGTTCTCAACCTTCCTAATGCTTCAACCCTTTAATATAGTTC